GGTTATAATGTTCTAGTGTTGTCATTTTACATAAACATTTTAACACACAAACCTACTCATAACGACATAAACTCAGTCTGAAATGATTTTCGACGTTGTCCATTTGTAACTACTGAGGTGTTCAGTTTGACTGTTTTAAAAGTCTTTACTGAATAACTTTGTTAATAGAAAACCCACCTATCAGTAACACCCTGACATTTCCTAAAATACTTTCTAACATTGTTATTTTATAAAAATTACAAGACACAAGAGTTTGGATTATTTTTATGTTGAACTACCATAGTGGTCAAAATTACTGCGTGCATTTCAGTGTTCACTAATTTAGCTGATTTCTGTTGCGGCCATTAATAAACCATTAAAAAAGGTGCCTCTCATCACAAAAAGCATGTTCAGTGTGATCAAGGACTTCCGGCTCATTCACACCCGAACAAATCTTTGCTTCTTTGCAAGTCTCTAATATGGTATAATGCTGGGTTCACACCAGATGCGGAACACGTGTTAAGCGCGAGTGAATTACATCAGGGCTCGAAATTAACTTTCCTACTTGGTAGCACTGGTGCTCCCAACCTGAAAAATTTAGGAGCACCAGAAAAAATTTAGGAGCACCCACCAAAAATTAATGATATTGACAAGTTGTATATTAAGGGATTTATTGTATTTGAAAACAGCATCATTTGGGACTAACAAAACCCAGAAACATTTATCTAACTAATGCTGTGATGATTTAATATTTGTGCAATAATTCCAAAATTAATTTTGAATAATTATAAAATATTAATGATGACGATGATGACAATAATACTAACAATGAATTATATTTCTCATCATCACGCCGCTTGAATGTGCTTTAATGTAAGTTATCTGCTATATAAAGTCCTGCTGTTACTCTATGGAAAATAAATTGATGGTTTGCATCAAACACAAATGGAGCATTGCAGTAAGAAATATTTATTTTGTACTGCTGTTTTTATATGCATGTCAATTTAATAAATACTGGCCTATTTCTGCTACAAAACAAACAAAATATTATAATAAATCATTCGATTCGATGCTGAAAGGTGCAAAGCAGTCATCAATAATTAAATAGAAAAATAATATACACCTCAAGAAAGAACGGACAAAAGAAAGGAGAAAAATTCTCACTTTTAAAAGTTTTGGTTTCGGTTCTTGTCGTTTTAATGCTCAGCCTCGTTACGCGCTGAATTTCTTTTTTCTGTGTTTGCGGAAAAGCATGCGAGTCAGCTAATATGAGGGGGCAAGAGCACTATTCTCCCAATAACCACCGTCGCAATACTGTTCCTTGTTATAACCCGCATCAGTTTAAACTCAGTAAAGGCAAGCTTCTTTGGCGATGGTGTTTTAGCGGACATTTGCGCTGTTGCAGCCTGATCTCACGAGGAAACGTATGAAAAAGTTACGAATTGCCGTGAGATTGTGTTGGCTGAACACGCAGCGCATGCAACGCATCGAGATTCAGTGTACTTTTCACTCTTCAGCAGTTTGCATTCCCCGCGGTCACAAAAGCTCACACAAGTGGTGCTCGCTGCAGAGCCATCCAAAAGCTCCCTCCCTGTCATCTGACAGCGGAAAGTCTTGAGTGATTGACAGCTAATATGAACCAATATAGCGTCAGGGAAGAGCTATTCAGCACGTTTTTAGAAAAAAAAAAAAAAAAAAAAACAGGTCGCACTCCAACCTAAATATTCAGTCGCACGAATGCTCCCAATATATATTATGAGGTCGCATAGCTGAAATTTCGGGCGCATATGCGACCAAAATGGTCGCTATTTCGAGCCCTGTATATATATATATATACATATATACATATAATATATACATATAATATATATATATATATTATGCTTAGAAAAAATCTTCGCTATGTTAAACTGAAATTGGGGAAAAAATAAACAGGCGGGCTATTAATTCAGGGGGGCTAATAAATCTGACTTCAACTATACAAACATAATATATCACAATATAATATTTCATATCATTCTGTATTGATAATTATATTTAAAATAATATTTTTAAAGTAATATTTTTTTACCATCCATTTGGGAAAATTAGGATCTTTCTCTGTGGGATAGCAGCGCGATTACAATAAGTGAGATCCGAGACGTGACTCGCTACAAATAATCTGTTGCGGGGGTGAATGGGGCAGGGGGGTAAAAGTCTCTGGCGATCTACTCCCGGGTAAAGGTTAGAAATCACGGACAATGCGATTTACTTAAATTGGGAGCCACGCAATTAGAGCTGTAAAGCTTAACTTTTTTTGATTGTAGTTGAAAAATCTGTTGGAAACTTCCAATCACCACAATGGGGAAGTCCCAGAGTAAAATGAGAAATTATGATACGCCGGTGTTTTAGAATATGGAAAAACTGTCTTTACTTTATTCTGTTTTATTCCTGTTTATGTAAAGCTTGTTGAATTGCCAGTGTATTAAATGTACTATATAAATAAACTTGCCTTGCCTTTAAGTTTGGCTGAAATAAATACAAATAATGATTTATTTAACTGCTACAGTTAATATTATTAGCCCCTTTAATATTTTTTTACTACAAAACAAACCACTGTGTCGACGCAGTGGCGCAGTATGTAGTGCTGTCGCCTAACAGCAAAAAGGTCGCTGCTTCAAGCCTCGGCTCAGTTGGCGTTTCTGTGTGGAGTTCGCATGTTCTCCCGTTCTCGTTGGTTTCCTCTGGGTGCTCCGGTTTCCCCCACAGTCCAAAGACATGCGGTACAGGTGAATTGGGTAGGCTAAATTGTCCGTAGTGTATGAGTGTGTGTGTGTGAATGTATGTGTTGGGTGGATGGGATGGGTTGCGGCTGGAAGGGCATCCGCTGTGTAAAAATGTGCTGGATAAGTTGGCGGTTCATTCCGCTGTGGCGATCCCGGATTAATAAAGGGACTAAGCCGACAAGAAAATGAATGAATGAATGAACAAACCAATGTTTGTAATTAACCTAGTTAATCGTTTAATTGTCACTTTAAGCTGAATACTAGTATCTTGAACAATATCTAGTCATTTATTTACTGTCATCATGGCAACGATAAAAGAAATCAGTTATTAGAAATGAGTTAATAAAACTATTATGCCTAGAAAAATCACTTAGGAAATAATAAAAAATGTAAAGGACAGCTAATAATTGTAATGATATAGATACACATACATATACATATATACGTATCTCCAACAACAGTACCACTGCTTTAGATTAACAGCATCATACTTTCACACTTTCATGGGCAGTTTGGTCTCTTTTGAACCTTGTCAGTATAAATTACCAACATCGAGTCCCACTGGAGCATGAACAAACCTCTATTGTGTTTCAGAGAAGAAAGAAAACAGCAGCCGTCTGGAGGTGCGCAAGCATGTGTGCAGTCGTACCTTGGTGCTGGATGTGCTGCAGGTGAGGCTCAATCTCTTGCAAGTGATTTCGTTGCTGGCGGTGCTGGTGGTGCAACTGGCCGGCGTTGGCAGCAGTGACGGGATGACAGGCAGAGGCAAGAGGCCGGGTCGGTTGTTAGCGGTGTTGGCGGAGGTGGAGACGCAGCCGTTAACCGTCCCGCCGCAGCTGCCGTTGGAGCCGCATTGCTCCCTTCGCTCCCACACGCCTCGGAAATCACGCTCAAACCGCTGATGATACCGAGACATCATGACAGAGAACCAGAGACACTTCTGCTCACCAGGAGCTGCAGAAAACCTGGAGAAGAAGAGGAGATGTCTTACAGTAACATCTATAAATACACAACAACAATAAAGATGAGGATATGGACAGAACACATTGGGCCCTATCACACACCCGGCGCAGTGTGGCGCAAGGCGCGGCGCAGTAGTCTTTTGGTAGTTTCAGCTTGGTGCAAGAGTCGTTTTGAGGCGTTGAGCTACGCTGTTTAAATAGCAAATGCATTAGCGCTCATTTGTGCGCCCATAGGCGTTCTGGTCTAAAAAGGAAGGCATTCTGAGGCGGACCGCTGGCGCGTTGCTATTTTCAGAAACTATATTAGATTTTTCATTAGACCAAAACAAACCCGGTCTAAACTCCAGCGCAGAGTTGTGCCTCGCTTACACACTGCTTAATACGCACAAGAGAGCAATAGGCAAATATCTTTACATATGAAAACAATTAAATATTAAGGATATATATAGGATATAATAAGAATAGATATAGGATATAAATATAAAGGATTAAAATATTACAAAACATATTATTTTCTAGCCTACATAAATATGAAAAACCACTGCTTTTATGTCTTCTTCATCTCGGGAGGCTTTTTCAGTTCATTCATAACAATTTGCTTTTGTAAAATGTTATTATTATTAGCAGTATTATTTATTATATCCATATTTATATTTGTTTTATTAAAAACAAGCTTAGATTTGTCCACCTGTCAGGTTTTAGACCATATGGGGCACAGCATGTGTTTTAGGATATAACTCAGGTTTTTGAACATACTTCGTTAATATTGTTCATTTATTCATTTGCTGGAAATTAGAACTAAATTTAGAAATAGTTTTGAAACGAATATTTGCGCTTAACAAACAAAATTATTTATTTATAGACTAATTGATGTCTGTGCGTAAAGGTTTCCTTATTTAAGAGCGAAAGTGAAAGTAGTTCCATTATCTCTTATTCTCACGCAGTAGATGCTCTGTTTAACTGTTTTTTGTTAAAAAACTGTCAACTGTTAACTGTTTGCTTGTGAAATGCTCAGTTTTTCCACTTAGACTTACTTTGCGTCCTGTAAATAGCGAATGCGCTCTTGGCGTGACGCAGCTGGCTCTTAAAGGGAATGGAAGATGAGACTCTAATTGGTTTATTCTCAAAACACACCTATAACTCATTAAGAAAATAATCTCAACCCTTTTAGTCCATGCGCCATGGCGCAAAGTGGATTTTCCCGTCCTTAAATTAGCAAAAACGCGTTCTGACACGTCCTGAAAGCGTTTGCGCCCTGCATTTTGCGCTCTGCGCATGGACCGTCAAAATAGAGCCCTAAGTCAAAGCAGTGTTTCCATTGGTGTAAAGTAACTAATTACAAATACTCAAATGACCGTTTTACAAATGTGCACTTTCACTTTCACTTGAGTACATTTTTAGTGCAGTATCTGTACTTTTACTCCACTACTTTGCTTCAACCTGCACTCACTACTGTATTATTTTTTGTCTATAGAGATGAGAAAAATCAGTACTGTGATTCCTGTCCAATCAAATTGCACAAAAAAGCTAAATCGCATCATAATGAACTACTGTACCTCAAGACAAGGGCGCTTTATAACTGCAGCAAACTGTTTGGAGTCTATAAAAGTGTCCAAGAAGATTTTTTAAATCTTTACACGTATTGACCCAGAGACTGTTTAGATGCATGTCCCTGATGAGAAGATGACGAATGTTTATTGTATGATGACTGAAATGGCCTTCAACACCCAGCAGGCACAAGACATCAACATGATGTCAGATTGAAGTTGTACTCTAACATCGTGGGGACGCTGCATTTTGTTTGGAAATGAAAATCAGGTTGACGTCAGAACCCAACGTCAGGCCACGTCAATGTCCAACCTAAAATCAACCAAATATCAATGTCTAATGATGTTACAGCTTGACGTTACCACTAAAACGTCTATCAGACGTTGGATTTGGGTAGCTATACCTAATGAATAAATGTCAGTATTTGACATTAATATGACATTAGGTTAAGATGTTGGCTCGACATTGAATTTTGGTCTTTCTAACAACCTGAAATCAACCAAACATCAACGTCATTTGACATCATTATTGGATATCAAAATAATGTTGTTCTTGGACGCTGACTAGACATTGAATTTTAGTCACCTGACATCACAACCTAAATCTAACCTAATATTAACATCTTATGATGTTGTGTGCCCGCTGAGTAATAACTAAGTGCACTACAGAATGTTACGTTTACACACATGCACAAATTACATGTTAATGCATCAGCTTTTTACAGTGTCATATTCTCTACTCACTACTCGCGAGTACTTTTGAAAGGGCTACTCTTTAATCCTACTTTGAGTAACATTCACAACAGACACTTTTACTCTACTTGCACTATATTTTTGGGCAAGTAATGCTACTATAACTTAAGTATGATTTTTCAGTACTCTTTCCCCAACTGAGTATTTCTTAACCACGTTCCTGGAAGATCACAGCTCTTTTCATTTTACCACGTCATTTAAAAACATACATATTTGTTTGAGGACATGGAACACATCTTTAAGTACAGTTTCTCCCAATCCGTTTATAAAGCAGTGCAGGACTGTCAGCGCAATAGCCTAGTGGTTAGCGCGTCAACATATAGTGCAATAGCACGTCAGGGCGTCCCGTGTTCAAATCCCGGCTGGAGGACATTTCCCTACCCTGCCCCCTTCTCTCTCTCTCTCCAACTTCGCTTCTTGTCTAAACACTGTCGTATCTAATAAAGGCAAAAAAGGCCAAAAATAAATCTTTAAAAAATAATAATAATAAAAAAATAAATAAAATAAAGCAGTGCTGGGATCCGTTTTTCGTACCTCGCTTAAATGATCTAAGATTATTTGGCAGATCCCGGATCTTTTAATCTTGATAATTGATCTCTCGCTAATTTGGTTCTTCAAACGAGTTCGCGAATCAGATTAGAATGTCTGGATGAACTGATCTGAGATCGCTGCGTGTGTTGTGAAGGACAGATCTATCGATCCTCGAAATCATGATCAGCAATGCAACGATTGGCTGACGGGACAGCAGCGTAATGACATCATCTGATTAATATTCAATTATCCATGTGAGCAAAATTACATCAAATTAGCAGTAAACGGCTTGTTAAATATGACACGCAATAACCTTCCACATTTGTTGTGAGCTGCAGGCTTTACACTTTCATGTGTCAAGAGTATTCATCATGTATTTCAATGCACATCAATGTATTTAGTTCTACATTTAGAAAATATTTTCTTTATTATAGTAGCCGTTTTTTAATCGGTGTAAAGAATAACTGGTTGTTTACAAAAGCATTTTCATATTAGTAAAGGCGTCTGCAACTTTTGTGAAGCATCAAATCACCGTTATATTAACTATCAAAACATGTTTATGATTGCATAAATGTATTATTGCTTTTAAAAAAGTAACATATTATGCATTTCTATTATACACAATTTGTACTAAAGGAATCAAAAAAGTTAATATCAATAAGTTTTCTCTTTGCACCACCAGGTGGCAGTCTTTGTACTTTCATTTTGAGGGTGCAGATTGCAAGTTTTATTAATATGTATAACTTAATTTATTTTATTAATGACTATAACTTTATATTTATAGTTAAAAAAATATGTACCATTTTCCCAAGTGTATATAACTACTACTGTAAGAAAATATCAGAATTCGGAACATACTTTCTGTATTATCTTTGCTTGAACTGAGCCCATCTAATCCTGTTTATATGAATTGAACCTGCTCCCGATCAGGTTTGACCTAGCAGAACTGTTGCTATGACAACAACTCACGGATCAGCTTTGAAGAACGAAACGATCCTGGATCATGTCAAATCCTCAATATCCAAATCCAGCTAACTGAGTAATCCACGTACGAAGAACGGACCCCAGGACTGGATGACAGAAAGGAATTGAAAGGCAGTTTCTGATGGTTTTGCTTACCCAAAAATGTCATATAATAAATTATAAATGTCATAATATCATCACATCCAAATATTTTATAAATAACATTTCTAAACTCCTTTGTTGTTAATTGTTTTTATAAAATATCTAGCTGATGCCCTTCCAGCTGCAACCCAGTACTGAGAAAAATCCACACTCATTCATTCCGGCCAATTTAGTTTATTCAATTCTCCCATATTTTTTTATTTATTTTATTTATTTATCAGGATCGCCATTAGCCACCACCAAGGTAGTGGCTATTCTTCCTGGGGTCCATCGAACATAACACAAAATTACATTAACACACAACAACAAAGACTAATAAAAACATTAAAAAACAAAATTCATACATAACATCCACATCAACAATCCACTTAATATTGTTCCATTAAATATTTTTTAAATGATTTTTTAAACCTCATTTTACTTGTTACAAAGCATGTAATGTCTGATGGTAGTTCATTCTATATTTTCATTCCTCTATACATCACGGTACGTTGCTTTGCATTAGTTTTTGAAATGGGAAGCAAAAAATTTCCGGTCCCACTTTATATTAAGTGGCCTTAACTAATATGTACTTACACAGGATTTAATAGTTTGTTACAATGTACTTATTGTGTAAATACATGTATTTACTGTGTACTTATGCTTGATTAAATACATGTATGTAATTACATCCATAATTAACTTTTGTAATTACATTTGTAAATACACTGTTGACCATCCCTTACACCTTAACCCACCCTTAAACCTACCCATGCCACCAAACCTGTCCATAACCCAACCTCTATCCCAACTCAAAAGCCCCACAAGTGTTCTCAAATACATTATAAACACGGTAAGTACATTGTATTTATTTTTTGATGCAAGTACATAGTAGTTAAGGACACTTAATATAAAGTGGGACCCAATTTCCTTTTAATGCATGCCTGGTGTTAAAATGATGACTAACATTACTATACAAAAGTTGACAGTACAATACACTTGGAACTTTTGACACAGAAATATTTCTTATAAAACACAGCAGAGAAACAATTACCCTATCCTTCACCA